GCAGAAGATACTTGAAGACGATGTAATCAGTCCATCACCCTTAAAGTTTTGAGGTGGTCAGTCCCTCAGTCTGGAGAAGAGCATTGTTCCGTTGTCTGAAACAATATGAAGTTGAAGTGACAGGATGGAGCCTTTATATAGTGCCAGGAGGTGAGACGTAGGTTGCTTTGGGAGGGCAGGTCCCTCTCAAACCCAGCCGTTCTCACTAGTAGAGGTCGAAGTTGATGGTCTGTACCAAGATACCCTTGTGTTGCAGTGTCTGACAGAATGAACATTAAAATGGTATAAAATACCGACAGATTGTTAGGTAAGACACATATGCAACAGTTAGGTATCTTTATTTCGAAACGTTTCGCCTACACAGTAGGCTTCTTCAGTCGAGTACAGAAAAGTCTTCAAGTATCTTCTGCTTCTATCAACTTTTCTGTACTCGACTGAAGAAGCCTACTGTGTAGGCGAAACGTTTCGAAATAAAGATACCTAACTGTTGCATATGTGTCTTACCTACCATTGCTGTCTTGGTTTAAGGTTGCTGCTTACCATAACCCCCAAGTCCTTTTCGCAATCTGTATGGCTAAGTTCTACATTATTTAACTTATAAGTGCTAGGATTATGGACACTCCCGAGCTTCAGAACCTTGCATTTATCTACATTGAACTGCATCTGCCACTTTTCTGACCAAGAGTAGAGTTTGTCTAAATCCTCCTGAAGTTCCCTAACATCTACGTTTGAATCAATTATCCTACCTATCTTCGTGTCATCGGCGAATTTGCTCATATCACTAGTAATTCCTTCATCAAGATCATTGATATATATTATAAACAACGGGCCCAAGACTGATCCCTGTGGAACGCCACTTGTTACTGATCCCCACTCGGATTTAACCCCATTTATGGACACTCTCTGCTTCCTGTCTGTGAGCCATGATTCGATCCACGAGAGCACCCTTCCCCCAATGCCATGAGCTGCTACTTTCTTCAACAGTCTTTGGTGCGGAACTCTATCAAATGCCTTACTAAAATCTAAGTAAACAATATCAAATTCTTTATCGTGGTCAACAGCCTCAAAAGCTTTACTGAAGAAAGTTAATAAATTAGTTAGACAAGACCGGCCTCTTGTGAATCCATGCTGAGTATCATTAATCAAGCTATGCTTATCGAGATGGCTTCTTATAATCTGAGCTATAATTGACTAGTAATTTGCCTACAATTGAGGTCAGGCTTATTGGGCGGTAATTTGACGGTAACGACTTGTCCCCTGTTTTAAAAATAGGAATTACATTAGCCATCTTCCACATATCAGACACTACACCTGTTTGAAGAGATAAAATTAAAAATATTAGTTAATGGTTCACAGACTTCCATTTTGCATTCCTTAAGAACCCTTGAAAAAACCTCATCAGGACCGGTGACTTATTTTGCTTCAGTCTGTATCTGCTTCACAACCATTTCACTAGTGACTGTGATGTTACATAATTTATCTTCTTCTGATCCACTATAAAAATTAATTACCGGATTATTATTAGTGTCTTCCTGTGTAAAAACCGAAGAGAAAATAATTATTTAAAATCGAGCACATTTCATTCTCTTTGTCAGTAAGATGCCCATAGTATTTTTAAGGGGACCTATCTTATCTCTAACTTTTGTTCTATAGACCTGGAAAAAACTTTTTGGGTTAGTTTTAGAAATCCCTAGCAACTTTAATTTCATAGTCCCTTTTAGCTTTTTCTATCCCCTTTTTAATGTCCCTCTTAATGTCAATATACTGATTTATAAGATGACCCTCGCCTCTTTTGATACGCCTATAAATTCCTTTCTTATGCCCTAGTAGATATTTCAGCCTATTATTCATCCATTTTTGGGTCATTTTATTTGTTCTAATTCCTTATAAGGATAAACGTTCTTTGAGCAGCATGTATTGTGTTCAGAAAACTGTCATATTGATAGCTCTCTTCGTTACCCCAGTCAACAGATGATAAGTGTTCTCTAAGCCCATCGTAATCTGCTAAGCGAAAATCTGGGACTGTTACTGAGTTATCCCTACTATCATACTTCCATTCAATTCTAAATGTAATTGATTTGTGGTCGCTAGCACCCAGTTCCTCTGAAACTTCTAAATTATTAACAAGGGATTCATTGTTTGCCAGAACTTAGTCAAGCAGGTTATTACCCCTTGTAGGTTCTGTCACAAACTGCTTCAAAAAACAATCCTGAACTACTACTAAGAAATCGTATGATTCTAAATTCCCAGTCAAGAAATTCCAATCAATATGACTAAAGTTAGTCTCCTAGAATTACTACATTATCGTGAAGCAGTTATATAGTCAAGTGATAGTGACGAGCGTGGTAATGACTATCACTGTGAACTATAATAAATTTTGAGGATATGGCGCTACAACAACAAACACAGAGTTCAGATAAGTCGCTTCCTGTGCTGGTGGGTAGCGCACCAGCGTGTGCAAAGCTGCTTACTACCTTGACCAATCTTCGCAACAATTAAGAACTACGTATCTCCGGGCAATCCTAGAGTGCCCACCACAAGCGTGGAGCCCACACATACTTGAGCATATACAGAAGCTCTAGAAATTACAGAATTTTCAGACTTGACTGAAAGAAAAAGCTGAACACTGAATCACCAAGAGAGTAGTCAGCTGAGATAATATCCTGACATAAAGAATAATCTTGACGGGGTGGAGTGTGACAGGAGAGGGACAGGAACAAAAAACTTAAGAGGGGTAGATAACACACTAGCCGAAGGAATGTTAAGATACAATTCTACTGTGAAAATGGAACGAAGTTGATGTGGTGGTGGACCAGTTTACTACAGGACCAGTCGACTGTAATTAAAAAAAAGTTATAATATTAACCATAGTTTTTAAAGGGGTAGACCGGTAAGCCAGCTGAAGGCTTCGGTCAGATGAACTAAAGCTCCAGCTGTGGGTCATTATATGACTAATACCCCGCGTCGGGAAACACTTGTCCTGTTTCCTGATAAATTTTACCTACCCTAACCTGTAAGTGAGGCCAGGAGCAGGGACTCAGCCCCTGCTTCAAGCACCACCTTGATGCTGAAGTGTTTTTGATCCAGGTAATTGAAGCTATCCTTCCCTTGGAGCCATTCTGAGTCTCCGATTCCCCCAGGCGCAGTGTGATGGCCTATATCTGTTTAGTGCTTATTTCTGATTGTAATACTCGGTGTCAGAAGTTTTGGCGTTACTTGTGTAGCCCTGGTTAGTTATCACCTGCTGGGAGGGGGCGTGGCTGGCTGGGAGGAGGTGTAGTTAGGCCAGATACCTGACTTACTATCGATGTCATCTGCAGAGATAACCTGGTACAGCCAAGACATTTGTGACCCCTGAGGCTGGGTCACAGCGTGGCGGCGGGGTTACGACCCCCCCGAGGCTGGGTCACAGCGTGGCGGCGGGGTTACGACCCCCCCGAGGCTGGGTCACAGCGTGGCGGCGGGGTTGCGACCCCCGAGGCTGGGTCACAGCGTGGTGGCGGCGTTGCTACCCCCCGAGGTTGGGTCACAGTAGCGTGGTGGCGGGGTTGCGACCCCCGAGGCTGGGCCACTCGTTAATAACAGCTGATTACAAACTGAATAGCTAACAGATCTGGTGTGTTGTAAATCATACAACCCTGCACTCGGAAACTGATACTCGTTCCTCTTAACGTTAAGCTTGACAAAAACTTCTATAGTTTACACCAGAAACACTTAGGAATGCAAGTAAAAGCTTAGCTTAGCGGCTATTGTTTGGACTTGTTATTACGGCTTAACTACTGACTACACACTGTCATTAACATTAATAATTGGACTCTGGCTTAAGGTTTAGTTAATGGCTGGACGTTCACATAAAGGTTTAGTTTAATGGATGGTCGCTCGCTGGCGCAAGATTTTAATGATAGCCAGAGTGGAGGTGTTGCATCACTGTGTTGGTGTCCTTGCTTGTGCTTGTGGCGCCATGCTCGGGTTTACGTAGACTGCTGCCGCTGCCGCCGCCGCCTCTCTTGGATACAGAGGCGAACTGAAAACAGTAATAGATTATTATGAAGTTCTATATATAAGTGGAGGGTGTCACAACAAGGGCCTTACCTGCACCTGTGGTGATGTCGCCTCTCTCGATGATACTAAGACTTGCTCGATGAATTATCTCGACCAAATCATACGTCCTGAATGTTTTATCGTGGCTTGCCTTTCCCCAAGGAATGTTAATTATGTAGTGTGTCCCTTTCTGAATGTTAAGTGTACTGCCCGTCCCCAGGCGAGTGTAAATTGTACTGCGGGTCGCCAGCCGAATGTCAAGTGCCCTTCGTGGCTTTGAGTAAATGGTAATCATATCCTCCAAGGTTAATGTTAACCATAATTACTAAAGCGAACGTTAACGTCGTCGTCTTCTGTGATTGTATTTAGTTTTAAGTACCTGAATTTGTGAAGGAACCACAGGGATGCGGGATGTTTCAGCCTTGTGTGATTGTATTTATTGGTTTACTGTGTTTTTAATCTTGTGGTGTGTACTCTAGGGTTTTCTTTGTAAGGGTCGATTCATAGCTCCTGGACCAACCTCTAAAATTATCCACATGGTTTTACTGAGTCTCCAAATCCACTGGTTCCCGCAGAAACATTTTCAAAGAAGGTGAGGGGAAGGGAAAATATACTTTTGTTATACGAGGAATTTTGTTTAAAAATCAAAGGGGCTAAATGTCAATCTGTATAACAGCATATAGCTTGCTGACGAGACCGAGCCAATAATAGCCAACAAAAACCGATGCCATTCTTTGAGCCATGTGTGCACTTTTGTTGTGACATTTAAGAGGGAGAAAATTATCCCCTTGGCTCTTCGTGTGAGTATCCATGCATGCCCAGGGTCAAATATGTGTGCATTGGTGAGCCCAAATTTGGAATATGTTGTTGCTCTGTGCGTTAGATGACCTTTGGGTCTCAGCGCGCTACCATTTTAAAATTTCTTTCCTGTGAATGCTTACGGTGTGATGTGTTCTCAGGTGGTGCAGCGGATCAAGTCGATTGCCACAGAGACGAGGCTACTGGTGCTTGACCCCAAGGCTGACAAGTACTACAAGAGTAAGAACATCGTTGTGCGTGGCACTCAGGAGAACGTCATCGTCAAGACTTCAGCACGAGACCGCAAGATCAACACTACTGCCACCACCCAACACGTTGTCGATGACGAGGACGACGATAACGCCCCTCCCTTGCCGTCCACTCCACAGCCTGTGTTTGGTAGTACCGTCACAAACGGGCACCATCACCACGACGACGCCGACAACCGCTCTGTTAGTTCTGCGGCGTCATCGTCAGCAGCCAGCGAAGCCTCAACACAACCACAGGTAAGAACTAGCTAGAGACTCCTTCAGGTTTTAACACTTGCCTCACAGACCTCACTCTTGTTACTCTTGTAGAAATCCTCAAAATTTTTCAGAACTCTTTATTGAAGATCTTTGCTGGGACTTGGGTCTTTTTTACCTTGAAGCCCTTTATGGAGAAGTCTCTATTTCTCTATATTAGAGCACGCTGTACCCTTATGACGAAGCTGTAGTGAGCTTCGAGCTTTTAATTCCACTACCTCTTCTGTGTTTCAGTTCACATATATGGGAATATAATGACGTTGGTGCGTAGTCTAGCCTTTAGTTTACAACTTGTGACCACCTTTGTAATTCACCTCCTTTGTCTTGTAATACAGGTGGGGTTATGCATGTAATAGTGTGTTTTGTACTCGTGGCACGGTCGGTACTCTGGCTTCCACCCGCTGTAATATCCCCCTTCCCGAGGAGACAAGTGGGTATGAGGGGGGGCTGACCTTGATGCTGGTGACCGCCTCTTGATCTGAGGCGTGTATGACCCTTACGGTTTGAGCGCTTCCTCGTAAATGTGGTCATACAGTAATGTCCTAGCTATCATAGTTGAAGTCTAGCTCTTGGTCTTGCATTTTAGCTTTCAACTCACTGACTTGACAGTCCTGTCCACTTTGTGGAATGAAGTTCTACTGTAATTGTTTAGCTCATTCCACTTAACTACTGAGAATGTTCAGATCATTCCACCTGACAAATACCTGTCAGTCCTTTACCATTGTTGTGGTTATTCATGCTATACCCTAGCTGTAACAATACCCTCGCCACACTGTACCCTAGCTGACACAATATCCTCGCCACACTGTAACCTAGCTGACACAATATCCTCGCCACACTGTACCCTAGCTGACAATATCCTCGCCACACTGTACCCTAGCTGAAACAATACCCTCACCACATACCCTAGCTGAAACAATATCCTCGCCACACTGTACCCTAGCTGACACAATATCCTCGCCACACTGTACCCTAGCTGAAACAATACCCTCACCACATACCCTAGCTGAAACAATATCCTCGCCACACTGTACCCTAGCTGACACAATATCCTCGCCACACTGTACCCTAGCTGAAACAATATACCCAATCACCACATACCCTAGCTGAAACAATATCCTCGCCACACTGTACCTAGCTGACACAATATCCTCGCCACACTGTACCCTAGCTGACACAATATCCTCGCCACACTGTACCCTAGCTGAAACAATGCGCTCACCACATACCCTAGCTGAAACAATATCCTCACCACACTGTACCCTAGCTGAAACAATATGCTCGCCACACTGTACCCTAGCCAAAGCAATACCTTCGCCACACTATACCCTAGCTGAAACAATACCCTCGCCACACTGTACCCTAGCCGAAACAATAACCTCGCCACACTATACCCTAGTTGAAACAATACCCTCGTCACACTATACCCTAGCTGTAACAATACCCTCGCCACACTGTACCCTAGCTGACACAATATCCTCGCCACACTGTAAACCTAGCTGACACATATCCTCGCCACACTGTACCCTAGCTGACACAATATCCTCGCCACACTGTACCCTAGCTGAAACAATACCCTCACCACATACCCTAGCTGAAACAATATCCTCGCCACACTGTACCCTAGCTGAAACAATATCCTCGCCACACTGTACCCTAGCCAAAACAATACCCTCGCCACACTATACCCTAGTTGAAACAATACCCTCGCCACACTGTACCCTAGTTGAAACAATACCCTCGCCACACTAGTTGAAACAATACCCTCGCCACACTGTACCCTAGCCGAAATAACCTCGCCACACTGTACCCTAGCCGAAATACCCTCGCCACACTGTACCCTAGCCGAAATACCCTCACCACATACCCTAGCTGAAACAATATCCTCGCCACACTGTACCCTAGCTGACACAATATCCTCGCCACACTGTACCCTAGCTGAAACAATACCCTCACCACATACCCTATCTGAAACAATATCCTCGCCACACTGTACCCTAGCTGACACAATATCCTCGCCACACTGTACCCTAGCTGACACAATATCCTCGCCACACTGTACCTTAGCTGAAACAATACCCTCACCACATACCCTAGCTGAAACAATATCCTCGCCACACTGTACCCTAGCTGAAACAATATCCTCGCCACACTGTACCCTAGCCAAAGCAATACCCTCGCCACACTATACCCTAGCTGAAACAATACCCTCGCCACACTGTACCCTAGCCGAAACAATAACCTCGCCACACTATACCCTAGTTGAAACAATACCCTCATCACACTATACCCTAGCTGTAACAATACCCTCGCCACACTGTACCCTAGCTGACACAATATCCTCGCCACACTGTAACCTAGCTGACACAATATCCTCGCCACACTGTACCCTAGCTGACACAATATCCTCGCCACACTGTACCCTAGCTGAAACAATACCCTCACCACATACCCTAGCTGAAACAATATCCTCGCCACACTGTACCCTAGCTGAAACAATATCCTCGCCACACTGTACCCTAGCCAAAACAATACCCTCGCCACACTATACCCTAGCTGAAACAATACCCTCGCCACACTGTACCCTAGCAGAAACAATAACCTCGCCACACTATACCCTAGTTGAAACAATACCCTCGTCACACTATACCCTAGTTGAAACAATACCCTCGTCACACTATACCCTAGTTGAAACAATACCCTCGCCACACTGTACCCTAGTTGAAACAATACCCTCGCCACACTAGTTGAAACAATACCCTCGCCACACTGTACCCTAGCCGAAATAACCTCGCCAGACTGTACCCTAGCCGAAATACCCTCGCCACACTACCCTAGCCGAAATAACCTCACCACATACCCTAGCTGAAACAATATCCTCGCCACACTGTACCCTAGCCAAAACAATACCCTCGCCACACTATACCCTAGCTGAAACAATACCCTCGCCACACTGTACCCTAGCCGAAACAATAACCTCGCCACACTATACCCTAGTTGAAACAATACCCTCGTCACATTATACCCTAGTTGAAACAATACCCTCGTCACACTATACCCTAGTTGAAACAATACCCTCGTCACACTATACCCTAGTTGAAACAATACCCTCGTCACATTATACCCTAGTTGAAACAATACCCTCGTCACACTATACCCTAGTTGAAACAATACCCTCGCCACACTGTACCCTAGCCGAAATAACCTCGCCACACTGTACCCTAGCCGAAATACCCTCGCCACACTGTACCCTAGCCGAAATACCCTCACCACATACCCTAGCTGAAACAATATCCTCGCCACACTGTACCCTAGCTGACACAATATCCTCGCCACACTGTACCCTAGCTGAAACAATACCCTCACCACATACCCTAGCTGAAACAATATCCTCGCCACACTGTACCCTAGCTGACACAATATCCTCGCCACACTGTACCCTAGCTGACACAATATCCTCGCCACACTGTACCCTAGCTGAAACAATACCCTCACCACATACCCTAGCTGAAACAATATCCTCGCCACACTGTACCCTAGCTGAAACAATATCCTCGCCACACTGTACCCTAGCCAAAGCAATACCCTCGCCACACTATACCCTAGCTGAAACAATACCCTCGCCACACTGTACCCTAGCCGAAACAATAACCTCGCCACACTATACCCTAGTTGAAACAATACCCTCGTCACACTATACCCTAGCTGTAACAATACCCTCGCCACACTGTACCCTAGCTGACACAATATCCTCGTCACACTGTAACCTAGCTGACACAATATCCTCGCCACACTGTACCCTAGCTGACACAATATCCTCGCCACACTGTACCCTAGCTGAAACAATACCCTCACCACATACCCTAGCTGAAACAATATCCTCGCCACACTGTACCCTAGCTTAAACAATATCCTCGCCACACTGTACCCTAGCCAAAACAATACCCTCGCCACACTATACCCTAGCTGAAACAATACCCTCGCCACACTGTACCCTAGCCGAAACAATAACCTCGCCACACTATACCCTAGTTGAAACAATACCCTCGTCACACTATACCCTAGTTGAAACAATACCCTGGCCACACTGTACCCTAGTTGAAACAATACCCTCGCCACACTAGTTGAAACAATACCCTCGCCACACTGTACCCTAGCCGAAATAACCTCGCCACACTGTACCCTAGCCGAAATACCCTCGCCACACTGTACCCTAGCCGAAATAACCTCGCCACACTGTACCCTAGCCGAAATACCCTCGCCACACTGTACCCTAGCCGAAATAACCTCGCCACACTGTACCCTAGCTGAAACAATATCCTCGCCACACTGTACCCTAGCTGAAACAATATCCTCGCCACACTGTACCCTAGCTGAAACAATATCCTCGCCACACTAGTTGAAACAATAACCTCGCCACACTATACCCTAGCAGAAACAATAACCTCGCCACACTATACCCTAGTTGAAACAATACCCTCGTCACACTATACCCTAGTTGAAACAATACCCTGGCCACACTGTACCCTAGTTGAAACAATACCCTCGCCACACTAGTTGAAACAATACCCTCGCCACACTGTACCCTAGCCGAAATAACCTCGCCACACTGTACCCTAGCCGAAATACCCTCGCCACACTGTACCCTAGCCGAAATAACCTCGCCACACTGTACCCTAGCCGAAATACCCTCGCCACACTGTACCCTAGCCGAAATAACCTCGCCACACTGTACCCTAGCTGAAACAATATCCTCGCCACACTGTACCCTAGCTGAAACAATATCCTCGCCACACTGTACCCTAGCTGAAACAATATCCTCTCCACACTAGTTGAAACAATAACCTCGCCACACTATACCCTAGCAGAAACAATACCCTCGCCACACTGTACCCTAGCAGAAACAATACCCTCGCCACACTGTACCCTAGTTGAAACAATACCCTCGCTTCACTATGATGGTTCAGCACGCCCGAAACTTT